GGGGATACACATATCACTGTGACACCGGCGCTAGGCTTTACGAGCTAATCATTACCGCTCACCGCTATACGAAAACATGAAAATGTTGAACTCACCGTGTGCCATGGCAGGCGATGCTCCGATCGCGAGGAGAGTGTTAGCCATGATGTCCATTGATACGTAGTTTGTAATGCACTGAACAAGAGGACCATCCGATCGTAATTTCTGCAGTGCACGCCAGCAATCGGATACGCTGCACTTGATCGACTCACTGGCGGTAGTTGTTGGTTGTGGTGGTTGAGACATGCTTATTTTTCAGTGGCTTTTTTACTTCTTAATAAATTCTCTTTGCACGAAAGCGACCAAATCTTGCACGCGACGAACTCTATTGAACCGAAAAACGCGGAAGAGAGGCGGAAGTAAGGCCCAGTTCAGACGCCGAACTTTTCATGAGCCGAACCAAATACATTGAATTAAGTACATGAAAAGTTCGGCGTCTGAATCAATTAAGAACGGCAATTTGAATTTGGAACGGCCCAGTCGTTCTTTCCGCCTAGTTCAGCCGGGAATTTCGGCTTTGGAACGGCTTTGATTCAGACGTCGAACTTTTCATGAGCCGAACCTAATGCATAAATAATGATAATGTTTTTTCCAAGCAGTTTTCACTTTGCCTGAAAATCGCTGACATTTCGATGTGATTTAGTTTAAACTAAATAAAGTTCGGTGAATCAAGTTCCATGTCTGAATCGACAGGTGTACTTTTGATAATTTGGGTCAGTCCAAATTCGAATTAAGTTCGGCTCATGAAAAGTTCGGCGTCTGAATTGGGACTAAGTTCGTTGTAACGTTGAGTCACGCAATCCCGGTGTGGTGAAACGCTTTCACTTGTGACTGCCGTGTTAGAGTCTTGTTAGAAGTTGTTCACATTAACTGCGAGAATTGAAGACGGCCGGTACTAAGGTGGGTAGAATAGCTAGATTTTCCCTTGATTAGAAACTTAAACACGAATTTATTTCTGCGAGTACCCTTTTTTTAGTAGTAGCCGTTTTTATGCGTCAACTAAAAGATCTATGATTGAGCAAAATTTAGACCAAAGCGCCTCGAAACACAGAAACTGATTTGATAACAAGGAACTGGTTCATCTTTGAAGGTATACAAAGCGGTAGAAATTGCACCCAGCTATAGTTCTGCTGCGATCTAGACACTTGGTATACTGACAAGCGGTTCCCGAGCTCTCATCGAAATGCGGTCAGTTTTACATCCTTGTCAAGGGAGAGAAATTGACTGTAAAAACCTACTTAAGTTAAACATTTCAGTCCAAACTTATCAGTTACATACAGCCGTTAGTAACAGCTAACCAAATAGTTACAGTCCTCTGCCACCATATGGGTAAGCAAATCTAAACGCACCAGCAGTAATGTTCACATTGCGAAGTAAAGAGCGCAGAGTCTATGCGACTCGTTCGATTTCGATTGCCAGGCCAGCTTTATTGTTTATTGTATATTTCCATAAGGTCGTAATACTAGCAATAATGATAAATATTGCATAAAACGTACAACAGTTTCAGTGTCACGTATCATTAGTCACTCTATTAAACTGAAGATGGCATAAGCATGCCGAAACATGTCTTTAAAAACTGTTGTACGTTTTATGCAATATTTATTGTATATTTCCTCTAACAGCATGTAACGCAGTCTCGAACTGCGTGACTCGAGAGGATGAAGCGGAACGTGTCCGAATTCATAATCACCTAAACGGGTACATACATAGGCAGAGATCAGAAATTTACTGCCACAGGACATGAGCCTTCCTCCACTTTCGCAGTTGGAAAAAAAATCCGGATTAATTAGAAGCACTGTTGGCACTATAAACCATTGCGAACTCAACAATATTCAGACACAAAGTATCTCTTTATATTTCTTGTTCAAAATCTCCGGATTCGCTAGCAAACCGGGGACGCTTTTATTTCAAATTCGTCCACTCCCTGAAGGTCTGGATGAGGTTTACCTTATTACAGGAAATTAATGATGCACGTTGACAACGCGAAGAAAATTTACGTTACACAAAATTAACCGAATTTTCCAACAGTTAGGTTTACATACATCAAATTAACGTGAAATTTTCGAAAATAATGTGCGCCTAACTTTATATATTTTACCCAAATTTGCGGCTGTAATACAAACGTTACAACATGCATATCTAAAGATAAAATCAACAGCATTTCCAGTCATTGTTAGCCCATTGTTATCATGTTGTTGCTCCGTAAATGGATCTATAGAGGGAACACTCCCTTGGATCCTGGCATTTGATCAATACGAAGTCGCGGGAAATTTAACCTATCAGTTAGGTTCCAAGTCCTTCATCTAGACTCCTTCCAGCGGAGTTTAATAAAATGGCAAAAGGAATCCGACGGCTAACGTACTGGACTCGTCGCGAATACGAAAAAAAAAAAACCGATGTCCTCTTTTTTAAGCGATTTCCACGTGAACTGAGGAATGATAGAAGCTTATTTACGCGCAAAAGAAAACGACTTTTGCGCGCGTGGGCGTACTGGCTGGGCATTCTGGGCGGGGTCGGCGGGGGATCGGCAGCAGTTCCATTAGACGTAAAAATTGTAAACGATGTTGTTTTCTAAGCGTTTGTATACCGATTTTAGCACTCACCCATTCGGGCATTGGCCAATTTTTCGGTCGAGAAGGTCACCGCCCCTTCCCTCCTTCCCCCCTTCCCCCAAGTCCGGAGGTGTCCATAGGCTTCAGTTTACGCGTAGATTGCCTACTCACTCCTTTGATTTTTAGTTACTTTAAAGCTTTCAACGTGCGATGTTTTCAATATTTGAAGGGCGATTGCAAACGCTTGAAACGTTTTCTTCAAACACTTGTTACGGCAGTTAACTTTTAACTTCAAACTGGTTTAAAGTAGCGCCATATACAATGTGTTTGTTCTCTTGTTGAAGTCAATGGACAGTCTGTCCACAAACACCATCACAGATCAGGACATCAGAGTTTTCCAAGAAGACGGAGTGATCTGTTTACGAAATGTGTTCAGCCAGAAGTGGATTGACATATTGCGAAGAGGAATTGAATTCAATCGACTCCACCCTTCTGAAATGGCAAGGCGAAAGGGCCACACCCCTCTCTTCTTTCACGACTATGGAAACTGGGACAGCATCCCCGAATACAAAGAGTTTATCTTCCAGTCACCCGTGGGAGAAATAGCGGGGCGGCTTCTTCAGTCTTCGGTAAGGAACGTCTGAAGACTTCAAGTGTAATTCGTTTCAAATCCATAGCTGATGCTTACAATTAAAAGCCAAGGGAATTCTACAAAGGGAAATATGTTATTCAAAATCAGTTTTGTCTTGGTCTTTAACACTTAAAGGGACACTATCACCATTTTTAGCATGATTTTGGAAATCTCAAAAACATATATCGATCATTGGAAGCTGAACAATAATGGTTTTATTTTGTAGAGCAGTACTCGACAAATGATTAGAACCCATTAGGAAGTGAGGATGGCTAACGATAGCGAGGATGGAAACGGATTGTGATATGGATTTTTGAAAAAGCTTTCAAAAGTCAGTTTTTCAAAGGTTCAAGTTTGGCTCGAAAATTGTTAAAATTTTGCAAAAATGTTGCTACAGTGTGGACTTTCCTCAAGAAATTGCTTTTAATCATTTAGTTAGAGCCAATTAAGTTCTTATTACATAAATGTAGGGACCATTTCGTGAATTTATAACAGTTTTAAGCAAAATATATCGTGACAGTGTTCCTTCAAATAAGGGATTACTATCAGGCATTTTACAGGCGAAGTTGCATTACTTTACAAACTCCATTTTCCCTCATTATAACGCGCTGCTACCGAAGTATACTAAAATAATTATGTTGGGTATTTCATTTCCTTTGTCAGGTTGCGCTGTACTCCAATCACGTTATTGTTAAAGACAGTGGATCAACCAAACAAACTCCTTGGCACCAAGATCAAGCCTACTACGAGATCGACGGACAGCAGGCATGTACCTAAGCATTAGTTTGTTGTTGTTATTGTACAGATCTTCAGTCACGTATTTTTTTTTCTTTTTCTTTTTTTTTTTTTTTTTTTTTTAGCGCTGATTTCTTTAGTCACAACCTTATCCTTTTGATCGTCGTTTGGACTGTATTACCTCCGTTTTGTAAACTGAACAAAAATTGTTTTTATAAGGTTACCAATGTACGTTTGGGTTATGCTTTCAATTGTTCGTAGTAAAGCGGTATGTTTTGATTCAGAATTTTTTTCCTCTTCGGAGTAAAAATGTGAATTTGCATTGAGCCACATCCATAAAGCAAGATTCTTGTTCAAAGAGGTTCCTAATAAAATTCGACTTGGTGCATGTCGTCAACTTTGTTTCGTTTGGCTCACGGGACTCACAGGCTAACCGGATTTCCATTGTATCTGTAAAATTACCTTTCACAATACATTGAACAGGCAGAACAAATACTTTTATCAACTCAGGTGTGCTCTGTGTGGCTTCCGGTAGACCCAGTTTCCAAGCACACTTGTCTTCGCCTCGTGAAAGGTTCCCACGGTTCGCCTCATTATTTCAAACCTGTGCACTTTGATGGCCCTCCATTCACCCTTTACGAAATAAAACCAGGAGACGAGGGGAAAGCAGAACAATTTCTATCGGCGCCAGATATTGATGGAGATCAACAGTTTCAAGTCTTGTCCTGGGAAATGGAGGTAATAGGCATATCGCATGCTAAATCCCTGTGTACTCCCCGTAGGATAATCTCAGGGAGCTCATCCTGGCACCCCGCGGCTATTTGGTTTTTTTATTCCTTTACTTTTCTGGTACAAGTTGAAATTACTTTTTGTCAAGTGAAAAGATTGTGACATCTACCTGTCTAACTTACGATCACGAGCAGGGGTTGTTCATGTTTTCTCCCTGTGGAGAAATACTACAAAGTGATAGAAAAATACATTGCCTTTGTTGCTAACGATAGAAACTCGAACAATTTCTGTCAGTAGTAATAGTATGACGTTATTTAAGTGTCGAGTTGTTTAGCTTTTGACAAACTAATTGGGGACAGAAATAAAATCTTAAGTGGATACTTTAAAATAAGGACATTTACACAAGTAGAAAAATCTAAAAGGTAAAAAATTCTAGCTAATTATTACACGTGTATGCCAATTGAGGACACTAACAGAGTCTTAAGTGAATACATTAAAAGAATAATAACATAAAAAAATAATGGGGTATTTAAACAAATACAGGTAAAAAGATCTAAAGGAAAAAATCTTAAAGTATATCAAAACTAATTTATTACACGTGTTTTCCTAATATAATTAAGCCTAAATTTAATCCATCCTCTAATAAAGTTAAAATCATAACCAAAGTTAAAATCTAACCAAAGCCGACCGACAAATTTTCTCAGTACAGTTTTAACGAATGCAAATCGTGGAAGTTAACAATGGCTTTGCAAAAAATTATCTATGTAATCAAGCTGTACATTACAAAGGTAACAGTTTTTGTGGCCTTTGTCAGGGTAGTCGCCCTGTCACTTCTTTGGAAGAAGAACTGTGCAAACCTAAACACTAGCACAAGTTTTCCCGCGCTTCTTGTCAGCTACATGTATTTCCTTCGAGTTTTGATTGGTTCACCGGATGGTCTGTGTCCTTTGTGATTGGCCAGAGTGATAACTAGATTTGGTTTTACAACTCACCCCACTCACTTCAGAACGTTAACCACTCTATCAGTACTTCAAGCTCCGTCCATAGATATCCGGATATTTTTGAATCCACAACTTTTTCTTTCCGTATACGGCTTCCGTCCACACGCATCCAGTGAATTCGGCGGCGAATCCGGATATTTTTTAATCCGTTCTCCAGAATGGAAAAAAATATATCTGCAACGAATCCGATGACGTAGCAAAATCGTGTCCAGTCTCTTACCAAACACTAAAACAATATGGCGGCACAACATGTAGGCCTTGTTTCTCTAGAGTGAATCCGGATACCATCGGATGTGTGTGGACGGGCGAACTCGATTTGAATACGCCACGTGTGGTCGGGGTAATTTTTGAATCCGGAAAGAAAAAGTTGCGGTTCAAAAATATCCTGATACGCGTGGGCGGGGCCTTAGAATGATTTTGCTATTATCATTCTAGTCCCAAGAATTTGAAATTTTTCCTGTGATGGCCAAGTCCTGCATTTGCATAACGTAGCCACTTGCATTTATTAGGAAAAGGTAAAAAGTACTTAACACTTAATCGCTGCTCGTTTCAGCCCGGTGACTGCATTGTTTTTCACATGAGAACAGTTCATGGTGCATATGGTAACAATCTTTCGACTCCGCGGCGGGCATTCTCCACAAGATGGCTTGGAAACGACGCTGTGAAGGGACACAGGCCGTGGATGAATCTCCCACCAAGTAAAGGAATGAAAGATTTGAAACGAGGAGACAACCTTGTGGAGTCGGGTGCATTCCCTGTTGTTTGGACCCTCGAGTAGATAAAAGTCCACCTCACCCCGTATTTCCCCTCGCTGCAGACAATTTTTACAAAGTACATAACTTATGACTAAGAGGTCTCAGCAAAGGTTCCCAAAGTTCCTTGGGAGCCGTGATCATTATTATTATAAGTATTTCGAACGTAAGATGACGATACTTATGACAATACGAGAATTTTGTTCTCATGGAAGGCATAATGCTGTGAGGTGCCAAGTGAAAACAAAACTTGTAACTGATCTGGAGGCTTTTTAAAGTGTTCTATTGTAAAAAAAAAAGTCATTAGCGGAAAATAAAAGCTACAGTGGTGTACAGTGTGACTCAATTTTAATGTGTTCTTAGAGGTCATGTTTACAACTAAATTATCAAGCATATACTGAAACTAAAAGTAACTTTTTACAGTTACTGAGAAATAGCAAGCGAGAAATTTACTGACTGTGATTATATGCAGATCCTGGAATAGCAACCTTCGGCTTAGTTGCGATACCAGGTGGTCGCAGTGAGATTTGTCCAGCTTCGTTTTTCCGATTACTTTGGCCTACCTGAAATTAAAACAGCAGGGTTGGCTTGTAAGGAGTTACTTAAAAATGTTATCCGCAGTGATGTCCAATTGTTACACTTTAGGTGGCTTACTACAGTTTTAACAGGGTAAAAGAACCCCACATTTTATCTCTTTCGTCGAGAAAATGTTTGGAAATTGCAGAAAATTTTCCTCTTTGGTGCCTCTTAAACAGATTTGGTGTTTTTCTTTCCATTGTAAGACCAAAAGGGACAATGTTTTGCGTTATGAACGGAAACAAGACCTTGGAAGCTTGTAAATTTGTGCGGCGACGCGCCATAATGCTAGCTCAATGCGACAGTTCACAGTGGTTTACATCACGGATGTGCAACGACAATACTGTTCAAAGCCAACATTTTTAGCGTCGGTATGTTATCAGTTTTCCTTATCCGTACTGCTCCGTTGGGGCGGCTTTGCCGCGCGGAGCTCCTCTAAAAATCTGTAAGACCGATTTTTCGCAAAATTGGAAAAAGTATACGTCTTTTTCAAAAATAGAACAAAATTCGTTTCATGGCTTGTTTTTGAAATTTTGGCTGTATAGGTGCGGAGTCCCTTAATTCTATCACAGTGGAACCTCTCCACAGTGGCCACCTTGAGGACAGAGGAAAGTGACCGGGGTGTAAAGGTGCCTATATTATGGATAGGTAGGGGTGTGTAATGAAACCTGTTTATTTCGAGCGTGCAACACCTTTGTTTTTCTTTTCTTTTTTTTTTTAAATGCTTATTTTAACAATAAAACAGAACATAAACAGATACAGAGACCAATGACGCCAAGTGCAGATCAAGTTTGGTGACTTTTTCTGTACCATGGTTTTGTATACACGGTTCGTCAGTCGTTGATTAACTGGCCTTTGTCGAGAGTTTATTTTGGCCGTTGGGGTGCGTTCTAGTGGCTGCTGTCATTATGTAGAGGTGGCCGTTGTATTGTGTAGAGGTTAAAATAAGAGTGGATGTATGGTTGACTGCTTGGACCAAAAAAGGCATCCGTTGTAGAGAGGTGGCTGTTTGTGAAAGTTCGACTGTAGCTATATAGTAATCATCAAAGTTCCATAACGGGTTGTTTGCGAGATTTAGTGTATGTCATATCCTGAATCATTAGCTACGTAGCTGAAATACCTGATTCCTTCTGACGGGATGGTAAGCTGTGCCTGTATCACCACTCCTAACGCCTGCAAATGCCAGCATAATCTCAACGATGGAAAATATGATGACCAAGGAAAAAATGGCCAACATAATATTCTCCTGCTCTGTATACTTGATTTTGATGTCTTTATCCACAAGCTAAGGAAAGCTCAGTTGGAAGCTTGTAGCTTTGATGTATTTGCTACCCACTAAATCGGTCACAGCCAAATAATAATGGTACGCTGTTATTGCTGACACTGCGGCACACGCCATGCTGACAGACCTCTGTGCAATAATCTATAACCAACAACAAAGACAGAGCGGTTTTAGAGTGCCGAAAACAGTATTGCAAATACTACTGCTACTTTACCGCTACTACTGACTAGACCATCACCGCCACCGATAGTCTATCTTGCCAACTTCACAACATTTCAATGCTGAGTGACTGATCGAGCAACAGAGTGAGTTATAACACTACCACCACCAACTACTGTAGTGGTAGCAGCACTGCTATGCTGCTGTAGAAGGACTGCTACCGCCTGTTACTACCACCACCACTACCACCAAATGTTAGTGGTAGTGGCAGTGGTAGTGCTACTGCTCTGCTCTGTTACTAATATAAAACTGTTTCAATCTCGGAAGATAAACAGCTGTATCATTTTCAACCTTTACACTCCAATGAACCGAGTCCTTCTATGCAACAAGAAAAAGTCTATAAAGAGCTACAACGATTAGGAGAAGAAAATTGGTCTAGCTTAACTCCTTAGATCTGTAACAACTGAGCAAAAAATACGTCAGGCTGTGGAAAAATTAAAGAATAAGAAATCGCCTTTTTCTGACAGAAAAGTTCTACTGCTACCTCTACCACTGCAGCTACCGCTACTAGGGAGTTTAAGAAGCTACGACGGCGACGCCGAGGAAAACGTCGATTAAAAAATGAATTTATATTTTACCTACGAATCTCGCGATACTCTAAACTCATTTCCTTTGTTTATCACTGTCAAAACTATCACGAAACTGAATCTGGGACACAGCGATAAATTTGAAATAGAAATTTAAAAAATTAGCCGTTGTGGTTCACGTTCTTCGGATAACGCAGAATTTGGCCATTTCACGTTGCTGTTTTGCAGAGGACGGCAAAGATATGTACAGGAATTATAACGCACGTGCACAACCATTGTACTGGGCTAGGTTGTTCAAAGCCCGATCAAGCTAACCCAGGATTAACAAGAATTTTGATGTCACTTTTGTAACTTTTCGGTGAGGTTTTTTGTTTATAATGTTTGTCCTTCAGTTTTGAGCTCGACTAAGCTCAAACTACACTAAACGTGAGCAGTAAAAAATTTTTTTATAAAGGAAAACATCCATACTTCGGTTAACTTTTAATCCTGGGTTAGCGTTAACCGGCTTTCGAACAACCCGGCCCCGCTCATTAAACCTTTTGTTCAGCGACGTTCCCGTTGCCGTTGCCGTCGTGGCTTTCTTAGACTCCCTACTATTACCGCCAATGCTACCTCTCCTGTCATTTCACTCTCACTACTACCTGTCGCGCTATTTTTTTCTCTTTATGTTTGTTTTACTTATATCCTTCTTCACTCAGAATAAGAGCGACATATTTTGCCAAAACTTTTGTATGGAGTGATTTATCAAAAAAAAAAAAAAATTCTCGAAATCTTAGGAGGTCTAGAAAGCATGCAATAAGAAAGAGGATTGGCCGAGTGGTTTAGAGCGCTGGATTTGAAATCTGGTCCCTGGTTCAAATCCTTCTCCCTACCGCCATCTGGATTTGTTCTCGGTAGTCCCGAGTTCAACTTCTCGAGTCTACCACCAGTTGGGATTCTTAATAGTTTATGCTCTAT